TGAATATAAATAATAAGGTATTAGAAGTATAATTTCAGTGTCAACATGTATTGAATTATTTATGAAAATTTACAAAACAACCTAGACCCTAAAACTCCGGCCGAAATACGGTTATAAGTGTCCCTCTAGATTAATCACACAGAATAGAATAGTATGACATTATGATGATAGTTCATTTTTATTTAACAAAAAAAAGGGAAACCACTCTGAGTGTGTTCACTTCCTCCATGGATAATTGCTTGGAATGGAACGTTCATCAATGGCCAACATCATTTGCAATAGAAACAACAATAGAGGTCGTTTTCACGCTCAGAAGAGAACACTGTAACTCATCATTATGGTTTGCGTTTCTCGTCACTTTTCAGTGATGGAATCGTGATACATACTATAGAAATGATCCCTAAAAGTATGATCTTACTGGATACACATCTTAAGGAATATCATATCCAAGTATTTACAACAATCTGAACATGGTTTTGACCATTGCATCATGTGGCATATTTAATTACATATCCGAATCGTAATGTTTGAATAATCTCTGACAATAATTTACATTTGTCAATATACAATGTTCGATTGAGTATATTATTATAATTAAATGTACATTTCATTTATGATATACATTTAGGATTTTGTTTTTGCCTTCTCATTGAATACGATTTATTGACGTGAAACACCACGAGAAAGTGTTCGAATATAAGCCCACAGTTTTTGGTCTGAAAAGTCCCCCCTACATTTATCCACCTTTGGGAGTATTTTTACAACTAGCACATATACAACATCGATTTCTTGACTGATCAACAATTCACTCATTTCCCTGTGCCCATGTCGTATTTCTCGCATTAATAGCGATTCACCCGTGTCTGTCTATAATTAGTATAAAAACAAAAGACAGATAAAAACATACATTCACTCAGAGGGACTATTATCTCTACGTCAATACAAAAATTAAAATCGGAAAGTATCGAAGTCCTACGTAACTATGAAGGTGTGTTTAAATCTTACTCAGACTCAGAGCTATTGTTTTAGCATATGGGAGTAAAAAGGGAAATGTATAAATCCCCGACCGATCCATATTGTTTTGGAAGTTTTATTTGTGGCAGAGCTTTCAAATCTCCACAGAAGTTGTGAAATCGAAAATGGTCAGTGTTCATTGAACATCTCCTTGCCAATAAGTTAGTAACTGCGATCACAGTTGGACCAGACGTACGTACATCCTGGCAAAACTCGGATGGAGTGTGTTCACGAAATAGTTATGTGGGCTGGTAAAAGAACGATATTCCTACCACGGTATTTATGTCTGCTCCTTGTTCAGGTAAACTCTTCGTTAGTTTGCTATCGCCATCAACGACTGCCATCGGTATATTTTACAGAGAACATAAATATAAATGCATAAATTTAATATAATAACAACGCAAGAAATGTTTTCTATGGTATGTGGATTAACCAATGGCATAATTATCCCGCATTATGTAATTTCTAAAAAAACCACTACGTGGCGTTGTTGATGGTCTCACCTTGTTTGCTAATGACGTTCTTTCTATCAATTCGTACAGGTCATCCCATCCCTTTTCTTCCGTTAAATCTAAAGCAGACTTGTACTGTGTTCTGTCGTCACCTTCCTCCGAAAATACAGTTTAAATTTGTCAGTAGTAAAGATGTTGGCGGAGGGGTACGCGACAACTCACAACCCCATTCAATGACTGTCGCAAACAGAGGAAAATTGTGATGAGCATGCTTGTCCATTATGATGAGAATTTCACTTTCAATAGCCCGTCATTAAAAACCAAAAATGGGTAGCATTTCCCAATTGTTTTATCTTCCCAAACAATATATTTTTTCTGATTTACAATTCAGTACTTCTTCCTAACAACATCGAATGTATTAATGAGAATGCGCGTGAATGTGATGACAATGCTCGTGATCGTGATTACATAGCGCGTGACTGTGATGACATTACAAGTGACTGTGATAACAGTACGCGTGACTGTGATGACATTACGCGTGACTGTGTTGACATTACGCGTGACTGTGATGACATTGCTCGTGACTATGATGACATAACGCATGATTGTGATGACATTGCTCGTGACTGTTATGACATTACAGGTGACTGTTTTGACATTACAGGTGACTGTGATAACAGTACGCGTGACTGTGATGACATTGCACGTGACTGTGATAAGAATACGCGTGACTGTGATGACATTACGCGTGATTGTGATGACATTACGCGTGACTGTGATGACATTGCTTATTTATAATGAATATTTAAAATTTGAACATAATCAGTCGAGGCAAGTCAGAGATATGGCACTAGAACCACATTCATTAAAACAAAATTGCCGCCAGTCGGCCATTTTTAATCTTTTCTGAAAAACAAAATGATGTGTATCAAGGTCTTCTAATGTCTAATGTATATACCAATTTTGAACAAAATCCATCAGCCGAAAAATGATTTTGATG